AGGTCTCCCAAAGTGAAATTAAATGTTAGAGACTTGCTTATAAAAAAAAAACGATATATGTGTTGCATAGTCTGTGGCGCGCGACCAAGGTCCCAAACTTGTTGACTCTGTTCAATGCAACTCGGCACGTATTGTACTTAGTTGCCCAAGAGGCTTAGGTGAATTGCAAGTGACAGGCACTCGAAGGTTGCGCAAAAATTGTGGTTTATTGCCCAAAAAGCCTTCGCCGTGGAATAGTCCGAGAGCAAGGAAAACACAGCAATGAAAGGTGATAGGTACCATTCGTTAAAATTTGTTCGCAGAATGTTATTTAGTTGTAGCTATCCCCCACATGATAGCTGCTATTAATCTTTTAATCCTGCTGATGTGTTTTGCAAAAACTAATTTGGAAATATGTATGATACATATGTACATACGATTACAACTGAAATGTATCATTTATGTATTTCATATTTGTTGCTGTGATTAGTTAAGCGTGGGATTTATATCTCATTTTCATAGCTTGTTTTGAGGAAAATCATATTATCATATTTTGAATTATTTTCCCCCTAGTTGTTTGGCAAAACTGTACGTGCAAATGCAAAATGTATTTGCAGCAATATATTACGAAATTTGGCATTTCTGTTGTCACTTGGCCCACATAACAAATATGCCATCAGTTTGCAGCATGCTTTCATTCTTTTTTCTCATCCACATTGGATGCCATCAGCATGCATATACGAGTATGTACGAGTATATACGATATCTGTGGCATTATATCAGCAAGTTGCTTTCCTAGCCAGCAATTTCCTACTCCATTCTGGAGCTCAGTCGGTAATTTGGTTGTATAAAACGTACAACGCATAACTGCCAGCATATTAACAACTGATGCCCGATAACGCGAGCGTCCTCACAATCAGAGTATCCAAGTCTCCAGTGTGTGTAGTCGTAGTCGTACATATATACATATATGTATATATTTGTATGTACAAGTACTTGGTGTGTGAGTGTCACAGTAGCAGCATAAGAAGCATCAGTAGACAGTAGCATTTATAAATTGCCATGTCATTTATTTTGACAACACAGATAAATATGTGTGACTGGCTGGCATGGGTATGGTTATGCCTATACTTGTATGTGTTTATATGGGGGCAGATTGTGAGAAATTTAGAATTGCCAACTCACACATAATTCTAAGATTGTCATATGGGCGCACATTTATTTAAGTGGCCCAGTGGATTTTTGCTGAGTATCCTTAAAGGCACTTCAGCTAGAGTCGTAACTTCTGAGCCCTGGCGTGATATCCTCAATAGATATGAATGTGTAATTGTCAAAAGTCAAAATTGACACAATTGACACAATTGACTTGCGACAATTAGTTGCAGGTTGCACTAAGCTAATTTGCTTTTCAATTTCCGCTTCGAAATTGGTTTCTAGTGACAGGGCACACACACTGAATGGCTGGAAATGCAAATCAAATTCGCATACACGACCGTGTGTGCCCAAAAGTAGACAATCAAATGTACAAATTGGGTGAGCAAAAGGTAAATCACAATAGCAATTGACAAACGGACAGAATGGCATAAAGGACATGAGTTTGATAAAATTGTTTGGCAAACAATTGAAATGATTGTCGCCCCAAATTCTGTTAACCAACACACATATATAGTATGTACATACGTGTATCCTATATAATCACAATTGTGAGTGTATTCAGGCACTTGGAAAATAAATTACCAACAGGTGTGAAAATAAAGCATGAATTTCACACAGACATCGCATGCGGGCCTACAAGTAGAAATGCTATTGATTGGTCTTTCTATAGCTCAGTAGCGTCGACTGTCTGCAAGACCTCCTGCTCCTTTGCTCTATTTGTAATTTATTGCTAGACAAATGTGTTCCAACGCCTTGTGAAATACTCCCAGAACGAAATATATATTTGATCCGATTTATACATATATGACAGCAATGCGTGGAAATCGGAGGCGTTGCACACATCGTTACTGCAATCGAATAAAAAATTTTAAATGACAATGACGACATTTAAGCGCTTAGTTTGTATTACACAGACCCTGACTCAGTGTCTGTGTTAGCCACACTGATAGTGTAAGCTCGACCATAATTGGTGTCTAGGTGTGGAAACAGTATTAATTTTATTTTCCAAGTTTGACAAAATGCCATTTAGCTTGACTAAGTGCTTTGTTTATAACACTGTAGGATGATTTAATTTGATAAGCATTTTAAGCTTTTCTGATATAAATAGTTTAGTGCTTTAATGTTTTCTGGTGCACATTGTTGTGGTGCTGTTTTTATTTGTGAGAATCATATACATTACGCCAAACTAGGGCAACCAGTCCGCTTATTTAGGTATTAGGTTATTACTCGATTGAGTGCTGAACTCTAATTAGATTACAATTGTATAGGAATTGGAAGTAAGGCGAATTAACGTCGTGCATTTCCGAGCCGTTCACTATACTTTTATTGGCTGCTAATTCGGATTAAATCAATCGTACATAGTTAATATGTGGCGGCCTTGAATTAATTATCAACATATACCACGGAAGCTGCTATCAACATCTCATCTGAACCAGACAAAGGAAATTATATAAAATAATGCTTTCATCCATGTATAAGAGTCGTCTTTAATAGTCAGGAGCTGAAAGCTGATTATGAACTTATTGAATAAATTGAGGCTGCTCTTCCGAATAGGATCAATAAAGGCAAAATCGTCTGATCTAAAGCCTCATGAATATTATTTTCTTATACATTTTAAATGCCATGGAATTAATAGTAAAATAGTAAATAATAATAAGTATTTAGCATCAGGTGTACTGAATTTCACTTAAGTACCTTACTATGTTGAAGTATTGTGTGAAAAGACTACAAAAACGTATACATCACGTACTTATTATAAATTAGATCTGTTATGAAGTGTAACTTCAGAAGTAGGTTCTATTTCTGTGACAATGCACTTCAATGTACAAATAGTTTCATTATGTTTTAAATACTCCTACATTGAAGTATGATTTCAGGAATAAATAAGTGTACTTTTACCAATCGCCTAACTATAAAATATACTTATATTATTATGGCATCCCCTTAATTTCGCAAAATTGCGCTCGTTTCATTGAATTGAATTTTATTTCTATGTTTTATTATCATTTCCATTTGCATTTACTATTGTTGTGCAACCACACCCCCCGCAACGGTTGCTAGCAAAATAATTAATTACCATTTGACTGTGAATTCCTAGCATTTTAGTTTGGCCTAAGCACTAAAAGGCAACGTGCACATAATTTCTCTTTCGCCCGTCAAACAATTTTCAGCTTTAGGCAAACCTTATGCATCCATTGACAGAGAACAAGGAACAGGGGCGCTGAATAGCACTCAAGTCATCTTAAATTGCACGCCTAAGTGCCACAAGTATGCTGGCTTATGTGTACACACTATGTACTATATAGTACATATGTTTATAGTTGTGTGTAGGTGTGCATATGCGTGGTACTTGTGAGTTCCAAGACAAATAGACACCCTCGCACACACCGACAAACATATCTACATATGCACATTCGCACAAGTGCAGACAGAAGACAATTGTAAAATCAACATGCTGACATTTTGCATGGCATCGTTTCATTTGACTTGCACACAAACACACACACAAGTCTTGTTTACAACATTTATGCGGTTTTTGTGTTAAAAGATACATCATGGTCGTAGCACAGATATTATAAAAAGTGACTGCCTAAATAATTTCAATTAAAATATATTACAGTTTGAAGAAAAATATACCAACTTTTTTACTATGTAATGAGAATTTAATTTACTCCAAAACATATGCCTGTTGTATTTCTCCAATTGCTTACAAAGCACTCAACAATTTTGAAATAAATACATATGTTAAATTATTCGAAATACTATTTCAAATTAGCTTTTAGGAGAAGAATATGTAGTTAAAAATATGACTAAATATGTTTGTGATCATATTCAAACGAGTACACTAATAACTGGTCATAACATTTTACGATTCGAGAGATGAATACATTATCTAGGCACACCACCTAACGGGAGAGTGCATCAAATATTTGCACAAATGGATACAAACCCGGAACGCTGGGAGGACTTTAATGTTATACAAGGATTTATTATGCATGTTTTTGGGTTCTATTCAACGAGCATGTATTTATATTTTCTGTTATGGCTGCAGCAGAAAAAATCGTTTAAGGTAAATTGTTTATGTTCGAGAAGGAGGACACATACAAATTACTAACAAAAACAATATACACACATGTATACACATTTATATCATTAAATGCACACTATGCTAAGCAATCCTTGGTAGCCTTGCGTGCGCATAATTATGCAAATGAATTGTGTGGGCGGCTTAGGGGCGGGACTAGGGACAGTTTCGGTGGCAAATTCGAGACCAAGCCCGGCCCAACGCCCTTAAATAGCATAAAAAGTTATTTATTAAAAGCATCTAATGATTACAAGGTAACAAGCTCACATATACGAAGGGAAGGAGCACTGTGGGGGGGGGGGGGGGAAGCAAAAAGGAAGTACATAATATATACACACTTCTGTGCAGGTACATCAACAACACATGCCTATTTATATAAACACATTTTATTAATTAACTTTAATGCCTGTGGGCATTTGTTGTGGGTTCTGTTGGGAGTCCATATTTCATATATAGGGCCAAATTGTTTTGAAGAATTTCATTTTTATGTTCAACGCTTTCGCTCGCTTTTATACACATCTAAACACACACACATACACACACACATAAAAGGTTAAACAGTAGCCAACAAGAAATGTGAAAAAAAGTTATGTAAGGGTTTTGTTAGACTGGGAAGATAGGAAAGAAAGTAAGTAGAGATAGCCGCGGCATTGAAGCCGTTGAGCTGAGCAGCTGAGCTGGTTAGCAGCAGCCCCAGCAGCACTTAGCGATAGATTGAAAGACAGGGCGAAAGGTGGGGTAGGAGAATATCTGAAGTTGTGGGGTTTTTGCAGCACATTACCTGAGCATTTGAGACCTTGATGGTAAATGCCGTACAAGAGCGAACCACAATGGTCGCAGAACGTGGGTCCTGCGTATGTGAATGGTTCGAAATGGTGTTGAGTTTTTGGTGAGTCCTTTTTAGTTTCAGTTTTTGTTTTTTTTATATATATATTTAAAAATGCGTGAGAGCCATATTTTTGGTTGTAGTAGTAGAAGTTGTTGTTTTTTAATTGATGGTGGTAGTTGATTGGTTGTTGTAGTTGTTGTGTCGAGACGCACACGATGATCAATTTGGAAAATTTTTTGGTATTCATACAATTTTGTTTGTGAGCACATGAAAATACAATAAGTACAATAAAGTAATGAACAACGGAACACGGCACTGCGACTAAAACATATCGAAAAGTGTACATGTGTTACGTAATAGTATATGCATATGTATAAATGTGTTCTCTTTAATTTGCGATTATATGAATGAAAGCTTATTAAGCATTAGTTAAAAGATCTTAAATTCTAAGCTCTAAATCTGTTTCTATCCGTCGCAGTCATTCATGTTGCAAATGTGCATAGTTTCATGTGCGAGCTTTCCTTTTTTGGCTGAATAGTATGTTGAGTACACACCGAAAATGTGTTCTACAAAATGATTTATTTTTCTTTTGAACAGGACGTATGCCCAAGAGTCGAAGAATTTGTTAAATGCATCCGATGCGGACAGTAGGATAGTTCTTTATTAAAATTACTTTTATGGTCTAGACTCTAGAGAGGTAAATGGTTGCTGAATTATTTGCATTACAACTTTAAGGGTAATATGTAAATCCTCTGGTTGACTTTTTACGCTTCACAAACAAAGCAAGCGATTTATTTAGCAGACCGATATGCAAATCATGTCCAAAAACTTTTTGTGACTGCCGCAGAGAAAAGTTAGCAGTTGTAATCTCAGTCGCATAGAAATGTAGGCATGTATGAGCATAGAAAAAATTGAAATCTGTTGACGTTTTTTTTTAGCAAGAGCAAAAATATATCTTTATCTAAGCACGGCTCTTAGTTCGCAAAGCAAAAGTGACAGGGCAGTGGTAGCGCAGTCCGTTAAAAGCATAACCGAAAACCCAAAATGACAGTTTAATATGACAGAGCACCAAAGTAGGCAAAACAGAAAGGACAATGCGACAGACCTCTGGCATTTGCTTTGCGCCGCAAGGCATGCTACACTTTTTGGTTCCAACAACTCGCACATGAAAGATTAGTCGCACACAGAGACACACACATTTGCATTGGACATGGTGCCTTAACGTTGAAACTACTCGGTTAAAGTGGTATTGTAGGTGCGTGTATGTTAAAGTATGCGTGCACTTACGGAATCAATGCCCTTATCCTTGCCGGGGCATATGAATGTGACGTACTCATGGCAACGTTTGTGCACCACATACGAGCAAACTGCGGTCGAAGGAAGTTAGTTAGTTTAATAGCCATTCGATAGTTTGTTTTCATCTTGCATACCTTGACACTGGAATCCTTGCTTGCCAAAGCCCCTGAAAGGAGAATGAGTTAAACGAAAAGAAATTGCCATGAATTAGTAAAGAGTTGATAACAATTAGTGTTTACTCGTATCAGCTAAAATTGACTGGAATTAATTCTTAAGCAATGCAAATTAGGCAAACGTTATTATTGCTGTTGCTGCTTGTTGGCAGGCGCCCAATTAGCATAAATATTTCATTTGGGCAACAGTAATAACAAAAGCAAAAACAACAACTGTAATGTCCTACACAATATGCAAATTGTGAAGTAGAAGTATGTTTGTAGCAAGCTACTTGCAATTTTAATTTAATCAATATAATAACGCTTGACTGCATGCAAATTTACGTATATCGCACTTTTGCTATGTCCACATTAAATTCTTACACACATGTACATATTACGAGTATTGGTATTATCTGCACTTGGGCCCATATTTTGTGAGGTTTTAGTTCAGCCATAGACATGTTTACACACCCCTACATCTGTTTACGATGGCGTAGCTTATGGACTAGGCATATGCATAAGCCAAAAATGCCTTGACCACAAGCCGCTTAAAGCTTAAGCAAATCATATGCATAAGTGTATTTGCTCACATAAGCGCAAAGTGTTGCGTGAATTTTTTAGAGATTGCAGTGCACACTGGAACTCTTCTAAAGATTACACTTAAGCACAAAGTGTTGATTTAACTCAATTTATTAGAAAACTCTTTACTTCGCAATCTGCGTCATTTAAGGTATTTACAATTCTTCATTCGAGTTGTTCTTCGGATTTGTCTGAAGCAGTCCTTTATTTACAATTGATAGGTCTTGCTTCTCAGTACGAAAAGGATCAAATTACTAAAACCTTAATTAAGGCAATCAACACTTTCGCTGCTTTAAGTGTACTGTGAAACATAGTTTGTACTTTACCTATCTACCTGGCCTGCTTCACATATACTTGTATATATTTAATGTGAATATTAAAATCCTTAAATGGTCACTTAAATTTTTTTAATGTTAATAGGCAGCTTGCAGAAATGTCCGTTTACAGTAATTATTATTTTAGACTATATGCTGTTTATTTTCTAAATAATGTTGTTCACATCTCGGACCAGTGTGCAATTCCTGATATCGTGCTTGGCAGACACGACACAGCACAGCACAAATTATGCATATATATACATATATACACATTTATATTTTATGTACTTGTAGTCAATATGCATACATACGAGTGTAAACGAGTGTGCATGTGTGCGACTGAGCATAAGTATATATACACGTACATACATATCTGTGTAGGCGCAGCTTGTTTGTTTGTCGAACGTGCGGCCATTTGCGTTCTTTGCGCAAGTTTTTACTCAAATAACTTTTGCCATAAGCCAACCCACCAAGTCTGTGAGCCAATCGCTCACATATACTATACATATATACACACACACACACACACACACACATAGTCGTTTATGCATACTATATGTATGTACTCGTATGTTTGTGTTTGTCGGAGCTAATGCAGGCGATTTCATGTTTTGGCACATTGAGGTAATGTATAATTAGATAACGTTCTCGTACACCGTTCAGTCGCATTTGCCATCAATTTGCCAATTAGGTTGATGCCATTAGAAGATGTCAATTAATGGAGCTTTAAGCCAACTGACAGATATAGCAGCATTAAAATGAGCAATGTCCAGAATTGGTTGAACTGTGGCCCATTTCTTGTTCATTTAGTTTTTGCAACAGCTTTAAATTAAATTTTTAATTTGATTTCTTTTGTCTGTACTATATAGTACTGCTTGTTTGCTTGCACATGAAATGAAGTGGAAAGCAATTTTCTCGCCAGCACAAAAGCCGCATGTTGTAGCGCCTGCAGTTATGCTACGCATTTATTAAATGTATATACATTTTTACACACAATTGTGGTGGTTTATTTCGTATAGCTTTTCGTAGCTAGTGGCTGCTATGGCAGCTATCATTTGTTTGGCATGGACTTTATATTATATATTTATATTTTTTTTAATTAAGAGCACTTTTTTGCCTGCCGAAAATGAGAGTTGCAGGATACGACGAAAACAGAAATACTACAAGTATAATAGAGTTGGCTTTGCATGTTAATTAAAATCACACAAAAGTGAAATCATATTGAAATGTTTTTGAAATAAATTCAGTGAATGGCCTGAATAGTTACCTGCAATTTAATTCAACTACGCGAGTGGTTTTTCACAAATTTTGGTCTTAACATATGTATTAATAAGTTAAAATGAATTTAATCCTGGTATTTAAAAAAAAAAAACATAATATATATTTAAATCTAAAAGGGTCTAAGCAGAGCTAAGAATAGTTCGAGTAATTATGACGCATGTACATCGGTGTTATCCATGAGTCCATTGGAAAGCTGTACCAAATGCATTCGTAATGAGTTTGTTCTACTAGTTTTTAGTTGGAGTTGTAGAATTGAATATTGTTATTCCTGCAGAATAAGGGACAGAAACTAAATACAAATGTAAAATATAATTTATTTACTTATTTAATCATTGATCAATGGACGTGGCAAAACAGTAGAGATGGAGATCAGAATAATATGGCTTTTTTTTTCCTTTTTTCCACACCTATTAGTTTTGGGTGAACTCGACCCATAAGCGGGTGAAAATGTTGCACATGTAATCAAAAGCTCTGGTATGTAGAAGCGTGCCAGCTGTCCACGTTATTGTGAACTTCATACTCCAAAAAGCCACTAGTTTTTAATAGTGAGAAAATAAGACATTAAATTAGGTTAAATAAGCGCTCGAGAAATTTTTTTTAGTCACGAAAAAGTAAATCCCAAAGATGTATGTCGTTGCGGAATATTTTATTTTGTTATATAATTCTTGTAAGTTTTAATTAAAGTAACCTTATATTCGGAACATAACTTTGCAATTCAACACATTCGTGGGCAATTTATTGAGCTGTCTGTGTATTAAAAATATTGCTTTTAACTTTGCAGTCTTTATACCACAGGGACATGATAAAAATGTAGATAAAAACATCCTAAGAAAAATGGGCAGACTTCAATTGTCTCTTGACATAGTAATAAGATTAATCCATAATTTGCCGCCTGTTTTTAAAGTATTGCAATTGACATTTCTCGCTGGCTTTGAATCAGAACATTTTATTTTATTGCAAAGAAAAAACGTTTTATGTTATCACCAATTATGCATTGTCACTTGACCTTTCACCATTGCTTTCACTGCTCGCACAATTTATTTTGATGCTGCAGGTAAATAAGGTTTCTTCTTTTCGACCACTGCACAATCTTAAAATTATAATTTATTAGTAATAACTGTGTAATTAGGTATCAAGTTGAGTTGAGTTGAAAGTTTTATGAGCTTCAATTTTTGAAACAGTAATAAAAGCTAACTAATTTTTTTTGTCGACGCACATACTTTCAACATACTTGTATAAACGTATATACAAGTATTAGAGTAGCGGGCCGCAGCGCAAAATTGTTAGAAGAGGCGAGAGCAGAGAAAAAAGAGGCTTCCACTTTTGAACTGTTATGCAAATGACATGCCATAAACATGCCGAACAGGCGACAAGGTGATGGCGCTGTTGGTGTTGTTTCGAGGTGGATTGCCTGATGCAGGCTATCCTCCTCCCGCCTGCCCTTTTTTCTGGCACACTTGGCGGGCTACGTGCGTGCAACGCCTTTTGGCGCCCCACACTATTAATTAAATTCGCTGCCAAGCGCAACTGAAGTTGTTAATTAGCTGCTGTTGGCCAAAAGAGGCGTTTATGTACAATGCGACCATAGACGACGACAACAACAGTAACAACGACAACGACAACGACAACAACAGCAAAAGCAACGACTTGTGCTTGTCAGTCCTCTGGCAGCTCATGTTCAGTGCTTGTTGTTGGTATTGTCGGCTGATGTTTGTTGGCTGCTGCTGCTGCTGCTGTTGCTGACGCTTGTTGTCTGTTGTTGTCGAAGCGCGTTAATTACAGCATGTAATGATGCAGCAGCTGTGTCGGCAGACAGATATAGAAATATAGCACCTATCGTTTTCACATCGTTCCCTCGTTCGGTCTCAAGGCTCTCGTTCAGTTCGATGGTCTATAGCTGGCCCGCATTTGAAACAGCAATTAATTTAATTATTGCCCAAATGTTTGCGTTTTAATGGCAATTAGTTTGATGTTTAAGCCGCACTGATGGCACGTGGCGACTAGACTATATTACAATGATTAACTTCATTTTAAAATCAACGCCCATTTTGTGGCGCTTTATCAAATGAATGATGGCTGTAAATCCATGGGCCTATATACATTTATAAGTGGGAGTATGTGTGTGTATATTAAACGATTGTCAAGTTGAATTGACTAATTCAAGCTCATGTCAACGAATTAGTAGACTTTTGCCGTTTGTTTTAGCGTACATGACAGCTATTAAGTAAACTAATATCACTAATTTCGATTTTCAATTTAAAGCCAATTTAGTCTGCATAACTATAAATTTCAAACCGATTATGTGTGTACTCCTCTATGAGTTTATATAGACCCTTTTTAAACTCTGTTCCTAGGGAAATACGAAATTTAACAGCCTGTACACAAATGCATTATATGTGTACGCAGTTCCAGTCGCTTCATAGGGAATTGTCAACGTCGCTAGTATAATCATCTCGTAAACTATATCATTTGGTGACTCAACCAAATTTTAGTTCAAGACGAAATATGTATATGATTACGCCGAATTTGTGTATTTCAGAATTTTTCTTTTTTCCCCACTCCCCCGCTATGCCAAGAGTGTTTCAAAGTTGCTGCATGTGTAATTATAAATGGGCCGCATCTGGCAACCAGCACATATCAGATTTCTTGGACCAATGTGCGGAAAAAAGTTAAATTCAAATGAAAGTTGTGCCGAGGCAGTTGAGATGCAAAAAATTGAATATCTCGATGAATATTTATGTAGCGCTACTAATATGCAAAATATGTTCATAATCATGGTCGAACATTCATTAAATACCTACATCCACTGTAAAAATTGGAAAATTCTGATATAAATTGTTATTATTCTCTGTTAATCTTCAAATTTTACGCTTCAAACTACATCACGGCGAGTGTTGTGGTGAATATCAAAAATATGGCCAGAATAGCATAACAGAGCAAACATAATGCGTATGAAATTGATTTATAATCCGCATAGCATAAAAAGCGCAAACACTTGGGCCTTTGGGTTTATGTGGTTGTGGATGTAAATGTCGTGGTTGTGGCTGTTTTGCATACCCCCCTTAAGTGGAGGCTGAAAAGCAAAATTCTTGACTCGGGGCACGTGTTGCAAACATAAGCATTGAGATATTGAATGGGTACAGAGGGCATAACAATGGATTAAGCGAGATTTTGGTGGCTTTGCCTAAATTAAATATTTTATTTGGTTGCTATTGTTGCTGCTGTTGTTACATGTTTGATTTTGTTGTGGCCACTAACTTTTCCCTTTGTTTTCTAATTCCATTGGATATCGTGTCTTGTTTCGTTTTCAGTATTTTATTTTGTATAATTCTCATTGTCTTTCTTCTTTCTTCGCGCTTCAAACGTAGTTGATAAAAGTGGCGCACAAACAAAGCGCTCAATTATCGATTAGTCCGACTTTGCATACGACGGCCACGTTATATAGTTCAGGTCCAGGTAGACCCACAAGTGCGTCCGGGGTTTGAAAACTACATATGTAATACATGCCAACCATACATATTTTTGTAAGAGTATGTACGCGAATAGAGGTAGCAGAAACATAACTTGTCGTGAGAAGGTTGCTTACAACTAATTGCACAGGGCACGGTAGATACTACAGGGTGCGCCATCTTTTATGTCGGTATGTAGATATTGAATAACTTTGTCATTAGTGAACCGATTGACTTGAGTAGTTCAGTTCAAGAAATTGTACAGAACCAAATTAAATAAAAATATCGCATACTTGAAAATCGGTTGTTTATTTTCAAGGATATTCAATGTTTGCATACCGACATAAAAGATGGCGCACCCTGTATATATACTTGTGTATGGAACACGTCCTCAGTGGGGGGGGGGTAACTAAAAATGGCCAAGAGCAGCAACAAATGTTGACTAACCCAATTCAGAAATTGCATGTGTGATTTTAAAATTACAGCATTAGCATTGCTCACATTCTTTTTTTTTCGTTCTAATCTACATTGCAGCGGATTAAAGAGGAATGTCAAAGTACGAGTATGTCCGTGGGCGCAATTGCTTGCATAATGCATTATCTTAACAGTTAGCTGACCAATTGATGGGCCATGTCACTTACCAAATGAAATCCTTGCAATGTGAGCAGAACGTAGGCTGCTTGAAGAAGCGAGCAATAAAGCAGTGATCCTTCACATTGAAGACGTTCTTCTTCTTTAAGGCTCCCTTACGTAGGCGCGACTTCATTTTGTTCTCTCCAACATTCGTTTCGCCATCAGCTCCCCCGCTGGCAGCCGCCTGAGCCTGGTCGCCATTGTTGTCACTGCTCTCGGACATGGTTGATGTTTTTGTTGCTTAAGTTTATGTTATAGTTGTTGTTTATTAGTTGATTATTCACTTGCACCGTTTGAGTTTGTTATTGCTTAGCCGGGCGTATTTGCAAATTGAAAAAGTTGTTTATCTTTTTATTGTTGTCACTTGCTCGTTGCTTCATTTGCCTTTGCTTTTATTTTTATTCTTCATTGATGGACACAGGGACTATATTTTTTTTATAATTTTTGTTTTGTTTTTTGTTTGATTGGTGCTTGAGTTGGTTGTCTATTGATTTTTAACTGGCATGGAAATTAAATAACTTTTCGAATTATTTTTTGCTCTTCTACTATAGATGCCTTGGTTTCTTCTTGTGCTTTCTAAAGCACAAGCGAATGGGCAATCAAATCAAATTTTTGTATTGATTGAATCGTTTGCGTTTGGTTTAATGTTTGGGACTCATTCATTGATTTTGTGCTTATTCGATTGATTTTCCATTACAGGTGACATAAATGTATTTAAGAACCTATCAGTGTGAGCAATTATTAAGTTTAAAACCTATATTTTCTACAATAAATTTTTAATTGCTCAATTAGTAATATTGAAATGGCCCTCTTCATTTCAAACTTGAGCGCCAACAAATAACTAAATTAAGCAAAACCAACGACACAACAGATTATTTAATAAAAAAGTAAAAAAAAAACAAAAATAATTCCGACTCACAAATTGACAAACAAACTGAATGCTTAATTAGCATTAATTTAAATGGAGCGTCTGTTAATTACGAAAAAAGAATGAAAGAAAACAATACAAAATAAGATAGCAATATTAATAACAAAAGCAACGGCGCATTATTGCGATACAAATATTGTTGTTTTATGGCAACGTTGAGTTTAAATGTAAAAAGTCTCTGTATAAAAAATACACAACTGATTGGTAATTAATGGCATTTAAATATATTTTCTCGGCTTATGAACAATTTTTTCGTATCTTTTTGTTGTTAATGGGTAAATAAAATGAATTGCTTCAATTAATTTGTATTAATCATTCTCTGTTGGGCGCGTGGGTAAATAAAGAATTTTTAATAGTTACTGCACTTTGTATTTCGAAGAGTCGTACAAATTGAATAAAAATGATTGTATGTTTGTTTTGTTTTTTTGTTTGTATGCTTGCAATTTTTAAAAAATACTTTGCATTATTTGCCAACAGACATGTTAAGTGGTTCACTTCGAGTATTTGCAAATTCAGAAACACTTTGAACTGTTGAATAAAAATGTCAGCATATGCATGTGTAATCCTACAAAACAAACACACAGACACTCCACTATGACAATGTTTGTTTGGTTGTGGCAAGCAACAGTTACTATATAGCTGTGAACATATAAAACAAACTGTTTTACGTGCGTCTCTTGTGGAATTTTTTATTTGACTCCGCTATTTTTGCTTATTTGGTATTATTGTAGTATTTGTGTTCGGCGCGTTGAATATTTACACTTAGGGCTTGTCAAATTTGCGCTTAACATGACTTATAGTCCTGTTTATGGGCCGCCAAAATTTATGTTAGCGTTAAACACTTTTTATGGTATTAATTTTGCGCGTGTAACACTTTTCTCATTATTGCATTTTAGCGCTCTTCGTTACGTTTTATCACACGCACAAACGTACACACGCACGCATTAGCTCACAGGCACAGACACAGGCACAGTTACAGTCACACAAACACACAGACAGACGAAAGAAACACATTGAAATATTAGGTTCAGAGCCACACTGAACTGCAACCTTCCAATAGCAAAGACGTTGTGAGTGTGAAAATATTTTCACACGCTGTGAAAAGCACAAACGCGTTGCTGTCGTGGTGAGTTTCCCAGCACACATATTCAATATTATACAAGATTCTATCTTTGCTGACTGCCTTCCTGCCTGTCCTGCTTGCAATGCCACTAGCCTGCCATACACACTTGTTGTAGCCTGTTGCCTGTTGTTGGTTGGTTGCGTCGCCCCTGCCGCGTAGGGGCAAGTTAATACTGCTGCTGCTAGTGTTGTTGTTGTTGTTGTTATGTCTACCACTGCTTTTGATGGGTTAAAACGACGCTAGATTTGCTTCAGCGATAGGCACGTGCGCTTCGTTTGAGTAACCAACGCGTTATGACACGCGCTTTGTATTTTGCGTTTAGCAGTGGCGCTCTGTGAAACTTTTCGAAGCGAGCTTTTGGGCGCTGTTGTTAACATTAACAGCAGCGCTGTTATTGGATCAACTGTTAACCTGTCTGTTAACCTTAACGTGCCGTTTACGTCACGCATCGCACAGCCAATTTGCATGGCCGATTGATAAACATTGGTAAATGAGTTTTGAAATTGGCATAAACGTCAGAACAACGACAGCGACAACGACAACAAAACCAACAACATTATCACGATGTCGCTAACTGGTTTTCTGTGCATCATTGGGCGCAAGCGGCTGTTAATTTCACGCGACATTTACACAAACACAAAAATGTTGTCAAGTCTGAACAAAATTAATACAGCAAGCCTGTTTGGTTTTTATCTCGCTTTTCTGTCGTTTTTGGACAACTATCAGTCGTGCATTTTGCGGTTTGCCTTTTTGCGTCCAATTACAGTCATAAGTGCATATGACCAAATGTTTTTCTCTGGCTTTGAACTAAAGTTTCATTGAGTGTAAACACTTCACTTGTGTAGACTCGCACCCCGAACCCCAAAACCAGCCCGGATCATAGAAATGTCAACTAGCTGCAAAATCAATTAAATTGGTAACAAAATAGGCGGCAATCAACTAACCAACTGCATGCATATCTACGTGCTTATCTGTACGTTTGCATATAGTATGTATGTTGGCAAACATATACGTGCCCACCGCAACCTTCATTCTTTTCAGTTGTTTTTTAAATTTAAATTTTTTTTATTAGCGCGCAAGTGCAAAATCTGATACCAAAGTGTCACGTTTCTCATGTGGAGCGAACAGAAAGAGATCTAAACAGTTAAGTTATATACCCTTCGCCGTGTTTCAAATCGGTGGCTGGTCCTGTAAATCACTTGCAAGAAACATCTCATACACACTTTACTATTGTTAATATATATGTATCGTTGTCATGACAAATACATATACGTATATGATATTGTTTTGTAATCTGGTCGATTCCAATGAATATTCTGACTGCCTGCAGCAACTAAAAGGCTCTGTCTAAAGGTTTATCCCACTTGGTATAGGAACAGAGCAATTATTGAAGCAGACAGACAGAAAAGCAAAAAGGCAATGGACAGATGTCTCATTGAGATTTTTCAATGTGTCACAGACATTCATGCCAAACACAATATACCCTTTCAATTGATGTGGAGGGTATGGAGAGAGAAACGAAATGCATACTCGCATTTATTCATTGCGGCTAATGCAATAATTATTTATGCATTATGGCCCGTATGCAGGCAAATGGTGCGCAGTTGTCTAAAATTTTATGCACGGTCATAAACTACCGTAAACTGGGAGGTTTTCAGAACAAAAACAAAAAGAAACACTCCGACACCCACATATACTTGTACACGGGCTGTCGGGCAGTTTGTTTGTGTTTCTTGTTTAGCCTCTAATAAAAATGCCAAATATTTAAAATACATGAGACGGCACTGAGTTAGGGCTAAATGGAAGAAAAATATATTACTTTGTACACAAAAAATGCTGCTGGCCACACAATTTCGAGCAAATTATTTGGTATTTCAATTGGAATTTTTGCGTTTGCTTAACCAAATTGAATTATGTAATAAAAATCATTTCTAAGCTGTTACAATATAAAAGATATGAGAATCGGCAGCAAAACATTTTATTTTAAACATTTGATTAATGTATGTTTAGTTTTGTTTTGCAGAAATATGAAGTTTATTTTGTGCTAAAGGCCCCAATAAATTGTTTTAGTCTGTTTATTATGTTTGAATAAATACACATCATGTGAATGCTTTTCTATTATTTTTTATACTTTTGCATAATGAATAAACAAGTTTTTTGTTATATTTATTTACTTTTCAAACTATTGAAACAACTTGTCAGGAGTTGTTTTTATTAGTTCAATTACTTATTTTTCGATGGATGCTTAGGCGCATTAAAGTTTGTTCTCTTGCCGTTTAAATTCACGGCTTAAGATAGGGTACCTAAGTTCTATAAAACCAATCTAGTATTGATTCTACGTTTATCATGTTCAAAAATAAAGACTTCGAAATGTATAAAAGCTTGATGTATAGTTTCTTCTAAAGCACGTTTTTTTTATGGATATATTTGTTGTACATATTATAAATTCTTAAACAAACTTGCACGTCCAAAATGAAAATTCTCCTCGAATTTGCTTAAAATACTAAAATAATAATAGAGTATAAGAAACAAATTCTTTAGACGAAAATCAAGTTGTTATAAGCATTTGTCTAGGAAATCAACAATGAAATGACGATTAAGCTGGTATTACATTAAGGTATTAGTAAGATAGTAAACAAGTTTGTTCATAAAACTCCTATTTAGCATGATCGTATTAATTTTTGTTACTGGCAGAAATGTTGTTCTTCCAGCGTATTGGTAATGATAGTGCAAAACTTTCTAAGCACATTGACCGCTCTACTTTTTTTACTGCTCACTTTTGAGCTTCATTTATTTATTTCGATAGTGACTGTTTGCGTTGTGCCCTCGGGCAGACATGATAGTTGAATATTATTTGGGCCAATGTTTGCTTCGCTCTTCATATCATTTCACATTATTTTGAAGAAATGTACTTCTCATATTCACTCATTTTATAAATGTACACTAAACACTAGTACGAATAGTATCAAAATTGAAAATTGAAAAATGTAAAATGTACACAGACATGAATAAGTTGCGCGCACGTTTCACTTTCAGTTTTCAACAGAATTTCCAAATTTGGAAGCACTGCTCATACTCGTACATATAGTATAATGGCTCGGTGAGGGGTGTGGTGGCTGGCAAGGAGGGTCATTGGCGCGCACACAAATTGACACAATTAAGGCAATCAAAATGACAACAGCAATACCAACAGCAGAACTGTAGAGACACCAATAAAAGCAACATCAACAGCAACAGCAACAACAATAAAATCAGCAATAAAAGTACACTTGACTTTTATCATTTACATTTTGCACATGTGCAGTACAAACGTACTCCTACTATTGATTGATTTACTATATATTCAGCTTTATTTGGCAACCTTTAACAGAATGGTTCCGTTGGATATCTTTTTATATTCCCGCTACTAGTATGTAAAAACACATGATTTAGGCATTGTGTTTT